TAGCAAACTTTTGCATATCAGTTTGCACATATTAGAGTGAAGAGGGGGAAGGCATTTAACTTTATGTAGAGTCCAACCATATAAGGCCCTGAAACCATAAAGTAAAAGTGAGGGGTGACAAACACATTGACAACTCTTATACATACCATAACATGATATGCCCCAAATGAGCAGATGGGACTGAACTTTGTTGTTTTGCTTTTCTTGGCATTCTTATTAATAATTGTATAAAGTACATATATCATAATTGATTGACCTCCTCTACGAATGGCCACTTCGGTTGTTTCCAGAGTCTTGCTATGTAGTTCAGGCTGGCCTTGAACTCACTATGTAGTCCAGGTCAGCCTAAAACTCATGGCAAGCCTCTTGGCTCCACCTCCTAAGTGCTGGGATTACAGCCGTGTGCCACCACATCTGATTTAAATAGCCTCTTATGTACCGTGAAAATGTACTAATAAAGTGTGATACATACATTTTTATTTCTTGAGGATAAATTCCTACAAAATAGAATGCTACGTCAGTGGAATACATATTAAAAGTTCTAATAAATGAGCTTTAAATGGTCAAAGCCAAACAAATATTGATAGGGCTATTCTACCTCTTTTGATCAACAATATAATTTAGAAACAGAAATCTAAGAATTTTAATGACCATAATCATTTTTTCTCCCACTGTTCTCTTCTGCTCTACTGCTATAATCAGATAATTAAAATAAGATTCAAATGCAGAATATCAGACTTAATAAAAAATAGAAATCTTTTTTGCTCCCATTTCCAAAACTTGTTCTTCCACTACCTCTATTCGTTGTACATTTTACTACTCTTTTTAAACTTTCTTTTCAGTCTCCCCACTCGAACATCAACTCTTAACCATCCCATTTCCTAATAACTTTTCCATTTTCGCTCCCTTTCTTTCCTCATTTCTGCTGCCTTAATTCAGGCCTGCTTATTCTCTGTCTTGAAACAATTTCTTTAAGGGCTCTCTCTGCCCTCATCTGTCCTACACAGTCCTGCCAGATCACCTTTCCAGAAGGAAAATTGTAACCCATCACCTTAGTCTTGCTAATGTTTCAATGCTTCTTCCATCACCTTCAACATAAAATCCAAATTCCTCATTCAAAAATTATAGAGCCACTATGATCTGAACACAACCTAGCTTTTCAGTCTTATATCCTATATGCAAATTTATCTTACATGAAACTGGAACTTTGGGGTGTTTTAAAGGTCCCTGCCTATTCCTTTTGCTTGAAATGTCTCTCTCCTCCATTCTGTCTCATAAACCTCCTCATTCTCTAAAACCAGCTAGAATCTATTTCCCTATAGGGCCTTTGTTTTCCTAGCTTGGAGAAATCTCTCACTCTTATAAATTCCCATAACATTTTGTCTATGTAACTTTTGTGTAATACATCATATATTAGATACTGAACTAGAATTCCAATATGTGCTATAGCTTTTACTAGAATGCTCATTCATTATGGGTGCATCATATCATCTACTACGGGAATTCCTAACCCAGAGTCCATAACCCCCGGGAAACATGGATAAGATACAGGCTTTCTGTGAACTTGGATGGAAAAAATTCTTTTCAATGATCATCAGATGGAAATTTGCATTTCTTTAAATTATGGACACAGGCAATAAACCACAGAATATTCACTACACCTGTAATACCACCACTGATAGATTACACTAGTTATTTTTACATCACATTATACTTGTTGAAGGATCCCAAAACACCTAGTGCTTCAAAATTATGATATTCTTAGGCCTTCCATTTATTTTAATGTATTAGCAATATATTAGCAATTCTACCCCTTGACAATTTTTTAAAATTATTGTCGTTTAATGTATATTCTCCTTGTAATTATATGTATATTACTTTTAAATAACTCTAAGAAAGGATCTATAGATTTCAGTAGACTATCAAGGGATTTGAAGAAAACAAGAGGAATCTCTGAGTTTAAAAAGAAAATAAATCTTTCAAATTTTGATGCAATATATTGCCCAGAAAAAAAAAGTATAGAAAATCACAATATTACATAGTGATTAAGGCTACAAAAGGGGTATTGTATAAGAAAAAGGATATTGCATAAGAACATAGTTCATAAAAATTTATAGCCTTAGCATTGGAAAAAGACTAATACTCTGTCTTCTACAATAGTGCTATTAAAGTGACAATTGGGACTGATACATAACTCTAAAGAGAGATTGAAGATTATTCCATATGGACATGTGAAGCCATTAGATAGCTGGTCTTCTTATCAGCCAGGATCTGGTTCCTTATAACTTCTTCTCACTGCCATCCCATCCATTCTATCCACAGGAAGAAAGACAGAATAAAGCCCAAATCTCATGTATGTAACTTTAATCTTTAAAGATAAATATACTATTTCATTCTTGATCTTTGTTCCTCTGGGGTTAAATATTACTAGTTCCTTCAAACATTCCTTTTATTCTATACTTTTGTGTCTTTGATCATGCAGATGGCTCTTTGAAAATGTCCTAATGGTTCTGAGTCTTACATTGTGCTAATTCTGAACTCGACACTACTTCAGAAACATTTGATTGAGTGCATCAGGACTACTCCTCTTAAAAACTCTATACCTCTAGTAATGCTGACTAAATAGAACTGGAAATCTTTTGGCAGTATTCTTCATGCTAAGCTCATTGTGCTTCCATCACCTGAAACTCATAAGTTATTTTTTTTTCTTCATTTGTGCAGCTGCAACTTGAATTTCCTTCAGTAATTACTTGTGCAGCTGGAGGCTTTGGTCACAACCTCTGGACGTGATAATAAGATCTATTAAATTGTATCTTGATAGGTTGCTTTTAAGGTCACATTTCCAGTCTTTCAACCTTTTGAGTTTTGTTTCTTTCATATATCATATTCATTGTTTCTCCCAGGTTTGTGGGATCAGTAAATGTGATCATGTGAGGTGATCAACACATTTGCATTTACTATATTATGTACATTAATATATACTAAATGGCTGGATTTCTGATGTCTAAAACATGTTACTATAAAAATATGTAAAGTATGTGTAAAATCTTTCTTTACTAGTATAAATATAGTGATAAAGGACTCTTAAATAGGCAGTTTTATCTTACAAATATTTATATTACAAAGCCATCTATAACCTTTTCATGGTCATGAAGAGAAACAATAGAAAACTTAACCATTACTTACAAGAAAAGAATGATATAAAGTTACCAGCAGGCCAAAAAAAAACAAAACAAAACAAAACAAAAACAAAAAACACCACAAATCAATTTAGTTATTTTTATTTTAAAGAGCCCACTCTAAGGTATTCTGAAAACTACCTCTTTATAGAATTAAAATCATCTTTTTAGTGAATCAAAATAAATGATCTAACAGTCTCATTTATTCAGAAGTTATTGATTTGGCAATCTCAGTGATTCAAAATATACGCAAAAATTGGGAAAATAAAGATTGAAAAGTAAAAACAATCAGTATGAAATTCATACACTAAGATCACATGTGTTACCTAGAATCTTTTAGCAACCCACCTAGATCATATTTCTTCATGTTTTAAATGTGCTTTAGAGCGTTTTATGTCCTACAGATTAACAAAAGGGACAAAATACAAATAATTCACAACTAAGCAAGAAATAGCCTGAAACTCACTGTTGAAAGAAAAAGCAATTAACATGCATGCATACACACATATTCATACACACGCAAACACAAGTATCAAGGAGACAAAGAATGTTAAAGTTTTATAATTGCAGAGAAATGACCTTATATTCTAACAGTCTTAATTATCTCAATGATCTCTAGGAGCATCATTACATTAAAACATGGTAAAATAATTGGCATGTATAATATAATCATCACAACACCTCAAGTTCATATAGTTTACAGTCCATAGCAGACTTTTATATCTATTATTAGAGTTAAAACTTAAAATGTTTCAGTTTCCAGGTCAGTATTATATTAAATTTTAAATTATGTGACTCAAAAGAGACTGAAGAACTGCCTCAGTCTCACACAGTTGTTACACAGGCCTTGCCATTCCTAACCTAGTGCCGTATGGCTCTGAGTCACCAAAAAATATTTGTGCTGTATGATGTAATCTGCCCAGTAAAACAGGGAAGCATACATTTTAGAAAGAGTTCTCCCAAAAGAACTTGAAAAATTAAAATTTGAGCCCTTAAAGGAATAAAGTTACATCAAGAAAATTTTCCTTGTATAAAATACCAACTTTCTTATAGATCATAGAGGTCTGTATTTAACTTACAAGGCTAGTATTATGCAGAATCATTATCTTACATTTTAAGGTCGAAATCTGTATATAAGAAAATGAAAGAGCATACATAGTATAGCAATCACTTTGACTTGATTTATTTTGTTTTAAAATATTGCTGGGGTGTCTTCTTTCATCTCTGTTTTCTAGTACCTGGTGAACCTGGGTGGACTCCTGCAGAGTAGAGAGGGTAAATGGAAGATGTAGCAGCAAATGTCACATGTCAAAGCATTCACCCTTGAACATTCTCAGCTTTAACAGTGTTAGAAACCCTCAACTCTCCATTATAAACATGCAGAGGTAAAAATTAAATTTATAATATTTATAAAATTGAAGAGAAGTAAGTTAGAAAAAACGATTTTGCTTTTTAAGCAGTTATTTTTATAAAGGAACACTGTCTGCCAAAAGGAAATAAGGCAGAAAAAATTTAAAAATAAAGTGTGGTTAGGAAAATTCCTTACTACCTTCTTCCAGGGTGATGCTTACAGTCAGCTTAAAACCTTGATTTATTATCATAAGAACCAAGTTCTTAAGGGTACAAAGTTTTAAGAGAAGCAGAGCTATCTGCTTAACACTCCTGATGGATTACAATCTGCCATTGCCATGGTGACCACTGAATAACTTTTTCCTTGTCTTTGCCAATTATGCACTTCTCTGCCTTTTGAAATCCCACTCATTTTTTTTTAACAGCCTGGAATCCTGAGAAGAAAAGCCCAACAGTTAAGTCCACACATACCCTCTTGTTCAGTCCGAGTCATTTCCTCAAGCTTCTTCTGTTTCAGTGTATCCACCACATCAGCAAGGCTCCCTTTGCGGCGCTCTGGGGTTCCAAAAGTAACACTGGTCATGATCTCGCGGTCCCGACTCCCTTCATCAGGCTTATGTGGTGAGGTAGAGGTATTTCGGAAGGAATATAGGGAACATAACTTATTATTCTCTGACTCCTAGAAAAACAAAATAAAATAAAGCCATTAGAAGACAGGTTTCTTTGAGTAACACTGAAGAAAAATCCCAAACTCAGGACAGTGTATGACATTTGGTGAGACAAATAGAATACATTAACTAAACTAAAATGTAATAACAAACTTTAGTAGAACAAATAAAAATATAATTAATTAAACAATGCTAACCTTTAAAAAATCAATTATCAAAGGAACTAAGGTGAAATTGAAGAATCAAAGTGTTTAATTTTTGAAATTATAAAGTAGCCTAAGTGGCTAAAAAATGGATAGTTCAACTTCTTACTCATTTACACTCATTTTAAAAAGTTAGCATTCAGTGAATAATTATTAGGACTGGTAATGTTTTCCCTTTAATTGTGCACTTTTATTAGCAATGTTCTTCCCATAACCTAAAAAATAATTACATCACAAAATGGTTTCTTTTCAATTTAGAATCAGTAGAAAAGTTAATTTCACTATCCAATGTTTATTGTACATCAGAATATATATAAAATATAAAAATCATTGCCAGAAGAAATAGGCCTGAGGATCAATGGAACAGACTGGAAGACACAAAAACAAATGCAGATGTACTCAGCTACCTCATCTTCGACAAAGGAGCTCACCATCCTCAGTGGAGGAAAGATAGCCTCTTTAATAAATGGTGTTGGAAAAACTGGATATCAACCTGTCACAGATTAAAATTAGACCCTTATCTTTCGCCATGCACTAAATTAAAATCCAAATGGATTAAAGATCTAAATATTAAAACAGA